AAAAAAAAAAAGACAATAGTTCCTTGAAAACAAAATACCCAGTGCCAAGCCAGAGTGAAAAACATGCCCTGTTTCGGACAAAAATGGTCAAAATCTCTACCGTTGGGCCGCAGACCTATAGAGCCCATATACTGGAGTGCCCCTCCCCGGGTTAGGGTTAGTTACGCTAAATTTAATTCAGTAGATATGTAGATATTTTCAAGAACCATTGTTGGTTAACGGCGACATGTGCACTAAAGTGACCTCCACGTGTTCACGCTCTTTGTACAGCGAGATTAATAAAAGATATATTTTTCAAACAAATAGCCGTGGTAGAACTGTTTTCTTCCTGTGGGCGTTTGTGTCAGTATGGAGATGAACAAATGATATTCCCAAGTTAGGCGTGTGCTAATTATCGAGATTATTATACATTGTAGGCACCATCTGTCCTCTCATTGGCTAAAAGCCCACAGCTAATTCTGGGAAACAGCGCAACTTGCAGATTATTCAGTAATCTGCTAGCAGATTAGTGAATAATCCGTAGGTTGCGCGCACAATGCATGATTTCCAAGAGCAACGTCAAGTTCACGTAAGAACATGGCTTGTCGAAAATAAACTGTGTTCGGTGCGATAATGGGTTTGTCGTTATTTTCTTTAAAACAATGTATAATAAAACAGTTATGTGATTCGGTTTTTGTGATTCCGGAATAATCAAGGTCTCGGTTAGTGTTATCAGCCTCAGCCTTCGGCCTCGGCTGATAACCACTACCTCGACCTTGATTATTCCGGATATCACAAAAACCTCATCCAATAATTGTTTAAAGTCAAAAGCATTCTGGAACGAGAGGGGAATATTACATACAAGGATAGATCATTTTGAGAAGGGTTCTTTGTAAATCTCTCCCTTTTCTCGCCACCGTTTTTTCCCAACAACTTTTAAGCCAAGCAGTGGGTGCCTTCAGATTTTGCCATAGTTCGTACTTGCGGCTCTTTTGAAGGCAGATGTCCTTGGTCGTTGTAGCTCGTGAGCGAAGTGTAATAAGCGGGGTATATGACCATTTTTGGAAGATAGGTCGAGTTTAAACAATGTGCTAAAATGGGGGATTTTGCGAGAGATGTTACATGCTTGTTTTCAAAAAAGAAAAAAAGCTTTTCGCTGAACCATTTTCATAACAATGTACTTTGTTAATTTTTAAGAGCCACGTCATGTCACCTAAAATTAATTTGATGCCATGTTTGCCTCGGGACTGACGTAGATATGCTTTATTTGTGCTTGGCAATGTTTATTACAAATTTTATATCAGTAAAAAAAAAGGAACTACAAAGGTAGAAAAACTTTGATATTACATATTAATTTGAGGTCACAATGGATGGTTTTTTAGTTGCGTGTTATTCATATTTTCTAACCGCAGGCATTAGAAGGTTATTAACGAAATGGGAGGAATATATTTTTAAGACCAAAAAGAAGAAGGTAATTTTACAAGAGATATATTCTATTCAAGGGAGCTCAAAGCACTGCTTTGAATGTCAGATAGTGGAGGCCTTTTTCCACGTTATACGCAAAAGGTCCAATGCTTTTATGGAAATGACACTTGTACGGCTCAGTAAAAGTGTTTTAACGTGGTGAAATGTTACTACGTTGTATGTAGAGTTTTCTTTTGTTATTCTATTTGAAGAGCCTTTCTTTGGTGTTAAAAATATCTTCTGACGTTAAGATTTTAAACAACATATTTATTTAAATAAATTTTGCAGAAACAAAGTTGCAATAATAGGTGCCAACATCAATTTGAAAACGTCCGTTTGAGGTTGTCAAACAAGTAATGTATGCGAGGACACAAGAACAACTCTGACACCATATGCCAAATATACTGCCGTAAATTAGTTTTGTATTGTTGTCCGTTGCCCTATTTTTTGTTATTCATTATCGACGGAGAACATCGAATGTACTCTGTTGAGTGAAGCTGTGAAACGAGAGGGGAAATGTTTTAAGCAAATATAGACTATTTTGAGAACAATGAATTCTTCGTAAATCTTTCCTTTTTCTCACCACCAATTTTTTCTAACTTTTAAGCCAAGCAGTGGGAACATTCAGCTTTCTGCTGTCGTTTGAATGCAGATATCCTAGAATTGTTTGTTGTAGCTCGTGGGCGAAGTGTAAGCGGCGCCTTGTATATGACCATTTGTGCAAAATACTTTAGATCTAATGCAGGAACTATGTTTCAGTAATACATGCTTGTTTTCACAAGCTGCAATGCTACAAAAAGTTTGATGTTTTGTCTAATTCAGGTCGCAAAGGATGTTTTTTTTTTGCGTGTTGTTCAAATTTTTAACCGTAAGCATTAGACGTTGCTAACAAAATGGGAGGAATATATATATATATATATTTTTTTTTTTAACAAAAAGGTTAACGTATTTTTTTCAGGAGATACCGATTATCAGTTCGGAAAGCTCAGAGATCCAAAGCATTGCTGGTATTATCAGAAAGTGTAAGCTTGAATCCACGTTACGCGCAAAAGATCCAGAAATTTTTGTTTGGAAATGATTGACGCTTTCGCAGCCAAAAGTGTTTAAACATGGTAAGATGTTACGCCGTTCTATGTAGAGTTTTCCTCCATTATTTAACTGCACCGGATTGAAGAGTCTTTCCTTGGTATTATAAATATCTTCCAATCATGATTAACATCTTAACGCAACATATTTCAATATCTTTTGCAGAAATGAACTTGTTGCAAATCAGAATACGTTAAAATTAAATCGCCCATCACTCACTCGAGTCAGGTTATCAAACAACTGAAGTTATAGATGCAAATAACTATAGCTACATACACCACATGCTAGATATACGGTGTTGTATTGTTGTCCGTTTCCCCGCATTTTCTCATGATCTGGCTGACCCTCGACAGTTTTTCTCTTTTGTTTTCTCTTTTTACCCCTTTCAGATATTTTTATACTCAAATGAAACCTAAGTCATACACAGTGTTGTTTGTATGATCTGCACGGGGGAATTGCGAAGTTCGTTAGTCCCGGCGTTGTGACGATTGAAGCAACCAAGAAGATATTGAGTATGAATACTCCCACCCGGAGATAAGATGCCGTGCCGAGCTGCTGCATGCATCACAAGTGACCCTTCTGTATTTTCAGGTTTCCTTAACAATTCCCCTGTAAGCTTTAACACTCCTGTACTGAGAGGAGCGAGAGAACTAGAGTGTCTTGTCTTCTGAGACACATGCTACATGTACATCAAACCTGTAAACTGAGCCTCGCAAGTCATTTTTTTTTTGTTAAATGATAGGTAAATTTCTAAGGGAGAAAAACATTAAAGTTAAAAGGGTGAAATAGGCGAGCTAGATCACGTTTTGTAAACGGAAAGCACATGCATTCATGAAATTCATGCGTTTATGGAAACTTAATCAACTCTCGCTTCACAGTAAGCAATAGCCTAAGGCTATGAAACTCACGTTTCACTGAGAAAAAAGCCGGTCATTCCATTTTACGCAGTAATAATAATAAAAGTGGGTTCACCACCCACAGAACTCTCTCTGTTGTCTCAAAAGAATCGTCGCTGGGGCGTCTGCTGCGGTAGATTTTATCGACAAAATACGAGATTACAGAGCGGTTGACCTCAAAGAATATTTGTCCAACGTTTGCAGCTCCATATACAGTGCTTCTCGTAAAACCACATTTTAACTTTTTTTAATATAAATAAAGATATTTTAAAAATATCCACTTATTAATATGCGTCCGTCATTTTAGCGTCAACTGGACTGATTATAAATATTTACACGAGGTGTAAAGCTTCACTGCAGCAGTTTTGGTATCAATATCGTCTGCTATCGCCTCGAAACGCATGATATCACTTAAGTTTTGAAAATAAAAATAGAGTGAAAGTGTTGGTACTTGATATGATAAAAAGACACTGACTCACGCCGTAAGAATATTCAAGCTGTTTTTCCTTAAAAACAAAGCCACCGCGACGACACTAGCATTAGTATTTTACTGAACATTTTTTTGAGAAATCTTTCTGCCTATTTTTGCATTGGCGGAGCAGTGAAAGCGAGAAATTTTTTAAGCAATTTTATAATCGCGCAATGTATTTCTTGTTTTCCCGTCAATCTCAATAGAAGCAGTGACTTGATTGGTCATTACTCGGCTATGAAATAATTCTGAATCAACTGATTGAACCTTAAGTACTTTGTTTTGAACGAGTTCAAGTTGTTTTCGTCGCTATTGTTATTATATGCACCTCCCTTAAACTGTACAACACGCAACTGTGAATGATTGAACTTCTGGTTTCTCGTTGAAATGTATATTGAAAAGCGGGACAAATATTCTTAGTTACGTACGTAAATTGCTGAAATGTAGCAAAACCTTTTATAGCAAACCGACTCATTGAGAGTAAGGTTTATTTTTAGCGATTCACGGACTTTGGACCATTTCGAGAATTTTGAATGATTTGTTTGTCAGCTCGTCACTTCGCAAATTACTTCATGTCTTCATGCTTCAAACATTTTGCGTGAGGATGTAGTCTTCGCTTTTATGGTGATGTAAAGAAACAATATATCTCGCTTAAACTGACGGTGCATTTGGAAGTTCGTTCATTCTGGGTGACCTTGGTGGAATATTGAAAAGTTGTTTTGTTTTGATTATATTTTCACTCATTATTCAAAGAAAGGTGGTTTCGAAGGGAGGGGCTAACCTAAACGCTCCCGGCTAAAATAATAGTTACATTGCTAAAACACGAAAACACAATTCACAACACTGGAGATCTTTTTACCGGCTTTTGACGTGCCTTTTCGAAATGTTGAAACGCGCTTGTACAGCGCAATATTTGTGTTAGTCGTGAGAAGTAAAACCCAGTGAAGCGTAAGGATTGTCGCGTGATTTTTGACCCAGGATTGCGGTGGTCTACCCTGCTTAATATCCGGAAAGGAAAATATTTTTCTTAAGTTGCGGATTTCGATAGCATCAGACAGTCTTCCGTTGCTTTAAAAGGAATAATTTACGGTTTGTTTTCGAGGGAA